CACACAGATCTTTGAATACACACACAGATCTTACACACACACACACAGATCTTTGAATACACACACAGATCTTACACATACACACAGATCTTACACACACACACACACACAGATCTTTGAATACACACACACACACACACACACACACAGATCTTTGAATACACACACAGATCTTACACACACACACACAGATCTTTGAATACACACACAGATCTTACACATACACACAGATCTTACACACACACACACACACAGATCTTTGAATACACACACACACACACACACACACAGATCTTTGAATACACACACAGATCTTACACACACACACACACAGACCTTACACACACACACACACACACACACAGATCTTTGAATACACTACCTGCGCCTGGCGCTGCCAGGAGTCTATGTTCTTGCGCTGCGCCTTAGTGAAGTGGTCCCAGCATTTTTGTTTGTGAGCCGCGCCCAACACACGCTCCACCTGACACACTGCGTGGCGTGAGGGGTAGGTACATACCGTTAACACATTCCACAGTCCAGGTGGTGGAGGAAAGAGTTGGGGGTTGTATTTAGTGAGCATTTTTTTTTTCACCGTGCTTGCAACACACACACACACAGGTCATATGGTCTCTTTTAAGGACAAGCGGGCTTACCCATATTTAGAGAGTTACCAGAAATCTAGACCTACACCAAAGGTGGGCATAGCGCTATCTATAGGAGACGTTTGGTTTCATTGGTTTGTATATTTGTTCCGTTATAGAGAAAATTCTCCTTGTCTTTTAAAGAAACTGAACAAGGGGCGAAAACTTTACCTTCGATTTTCTCAAAACAGCAATTTTCGGGATAGCCCCCTTTTGCTTAAAAGCGACCGTATAAGTGCTGAATGAAGTTTAGAGGTGTCACTAGAGAGTAACATACAGAGAAAAGGGAGGAGGGGAGATATGGATGATAGATGTTTGATAGGAAAGAAGGAGCCGACTACACCACATACAGCATCAGCCAACAGTTTGAGTTTGAGTAAAGAGAAGCACTTCCACACGAAATCTATCATTACCTGGGGGGGACATTACTTTGAGTTTTGAGTAAAAAGAAGCATCTAGACACATATATGGTCATTAATTAGTGAAAGGAAAAAGTTAGAGATACAGAGAGAGAGAGACAGAAACAAAAGCAGGAAAGAGGAGTGAGATGGACAGACGGGAATGACAGAGGGAGAGAAAGGAGACCATATATTAAAGACATGGCTTTATGGGAGGAAGAAGTCAGAAGACAAGAAAGAAGGACAATACATATGTGAGGCATCGTGGTGAAATCAGGCACTCGGCAAAATAACGAAATTATAATGAAAGAAACTAGCATTTTTCTGACCATTTGGGCAATTTTTTTCTACTTTTTCTTTTTTTGGCTTAACACCTTTTCTATTCATTTAAACACACGTTTCCGTGTGTATTTCATTGAAGTACATTGATTAAAGGCACAAAACATGTCAATTTTCATTTTCCACTCACTCTCAAGCTATGGAAATTACCAAACTTAAACGGCCATTTTCTCGCCAATTTCACCTCATCTCCTTCAGTCGCCAAAAATTTCTACTTCTATTCAACATAGACGGATAATTTTTCAAGAGAAGAATGGCAAATTAACAGGCTTTAAAATGATACCAGTAACCCCATATGCCAGAAGATTTACGAACGCCTGATTCCACCGCGTCATGACACACATATACTCTAAAACTTCTCACCATATGAAATCCTTGGCTTATGTGTGCGCCGCTCAAATAAAGAAGAGCACGCGGTCACAACAATGGTCGTTTACTTTAGTGAAGGGAAAGAGGAGCAAGAAAGACAGAAACAACAGAGAGGGGGAATAAAAGAAGACGACCTACCAGTGGCGGCCTCCAACCACCCATGCAAGCAGACGGACTGTCCGATAATACCGAGGAACAACAGCAGAGGAATGACAGACAGAAGAAGAGAGAGGAAGAGAAAAAAGCAGGACCTACCAGTTCGTAATGCTCTCGGCACTGTCTCACTTACACTTACGAACTGACGAGCTTTGGGGGGAAGAGGGTGGTCTGAACAGAAAAATATAACGCCCAAAAATAAGAGTAGACGTATACCGTCGCACCTGCTTTAGCAGCCACCAGTCCAAGACAATTACCTGTACAAATGACCACTTCCCACTTCCCCTCTTGTGGATTTGGGGTTGTTTTGGGTTTTTTTACTATATCACAATGACAGTGTCCAAGATGGTGACCTATCTAAGACAACCTCTTCTCTCCTCAACAAATGGGTGGCCGTCTTGAGTCATTTTGACAGTACATTATAAGAGCAAGTAGAGGCAAATAGAAGTGGCCGTCATGTACAACTTGGACAAACACAAAGACACGTGGCTGTACTCAAAGGTCAGAGGGGGAGTGAGAACTAACAAAGACATAGGATGTCAAAGTCAGAACAGAAGGAACAACATATGTATAGAAACAGCGATACTAAACACTCACCATCCCCTCACACTGGGAAATCCTTCTTCATTTGTACAAAACAAAACAAAAAAAAGGAACGAACTGACACAACTTACATGACACAACTTAAAGAAAGACTACTGCACTCTACAGACTGGCAAGAGAAAAGCAACATTTCCTTTTCAAATTGAGAAATTCCAATATTTCCTTTGGAAAAAAAAATTCATTTCAATGTAACAGTCGCAATAACTCACCTTTAGAGCAGCAAAACATGCCTATAAATCCTAAACATTTCTGAAGATACGAATACATATGATGAGCTTTGAACAAAACGAAAAGATAAAGACGTATCACGAATACAACAGAAAACATGACCATATCACTACCACAGAATTACAAAGCTCTATCTGTCACTTTGCTCACTTGGAACGAGCTTGGAAGGATGGCTCAGGACAGAGATAAATGGAAGGAGCTTGTTTGTGGCCTATACCCTGCCAGGGGTGAAAGGATGGCTCAGGACAGAGATAAATGGAAGGAGCTTGTATGTGGCCTATACCCTGCCAGGGGTGAAAGGCATTGATGACTGATGATGATCTGTCACTTGTTTCCGTTTTATGTTACTAAGACCATGAGGTCAGCAATCGAATGTTCTTTCTGGCACATCAAAATCGTAAGATGATTATTCAAAGTCGTTATCAAGAAATTTTAAAAATTGCATTCGAAAAAGCTTGACAAGTTGTGAAACTAACAATTTATGTCAAATTTCTCAAAACTAGGTACTGAGCACATAGAACTTTGTAATTCTTAGGTAGCAATACATTACGTCAGAAATACTTCCCATGGTCTACCATCGTCAGCTGTCAACAAACAGGGTCGACATTTTTAACATCACAAAAAGCGTGAGTGCCTGGAGAAAGATCTCAGTTGTCGGCAAAGCTATTTTGAGGCAATGGGGTGAAAACTGCGAAAAACATGGTAACTGGTAAAAACATTTTGTTCCAACCGAAAACAACAGGTTTAACCATTTCTTAATAACATATTGAAAGGATTTTTAAAATTTGAAGTCTTAATGTTTTTAATTAGTTATTTTTGCAACATGTTGTACTCCACCAAAGATTTAAAATGTGCTAGAAATTGGGTTTTTCTCAAAACTTTTTACACCCTGTGTTATAAAATGTGGCATATCTTTAAACTACTCAAGATATTTGAAAATTTTAAAAATCAGTGTGTTCAGCATTAAATTGGTTTCGAGAGCATGCCTTTAATGTAATATCCAAAATTTTCGACAACTGGGACCTTTCTCCGTGCACACACATATATATATATATACGATGGTGCATTTCTCTTGCTGAGCAGTCCATAGTATGCTTCGAGAAGTTTTTCTTGTCAGCGGGTCAAAAATGCGGAGGAGAATGATGCCTATACCTGGTCTCACCACAGCTACGATCCTCTTCTGAACCACAATGCATTGTCTGTTTGTTTGGTTGAATTAAGAGAAGCACATCGACACAATGACGGTCCCTTAGTGCAGGAAAAAAGCAAGACATACGTACAAACAGAAACAATAGAGGGAAAGAAAAGAAGTAGGACCTACCAGTGGCGACTCCCTCCCAGCCACCCGCCCGGAGCACCCACCCAGACAGACAGACAGACAGACAGACAGACAGACAGACAGACAGACAGACAGACAGTCCAACCAACAGACGCAACAAAGGGAAAGAAAAGAACTGGGACCTACCAGTGGCTACTCCCAACCATCCGCCAAAAGCACTCAGACAAACAGACAGACAGAGATCCAGACAGACAAATAGACTCACATTGACTGCGTATGGCCACCAGCCTCTGCTGGTACTGTATCTTGTACTGCTCGTACTCTGCCTCCACTGTCTCCTTCTCGCTGTTGAGGCGACGCACGTGCCCGTGCACGTTCTGCACCATTGAGTAGAACTGTGTGGCCGTGCGCCGGTTGCACTCCCCTCTCTCCAGCCACGTGATCAGGCACTGGGACACCTTGCCAAAGTTCTCGTCCGCTGAAACCAACAAGACGGGACAATAATTTATTTCCTTACTACAGTGGAACTCGGATTCAACGAGGTCGGAGGTCGCTGGGCCTGACCTAAAATCTCGTTGAATCCGAGTGTGCGTTATAGCAAACACGAGGCTTTGTGTAGATAATTACAGGCACTGAGCAAGTAATTCTAAAGTCACAAGTAGTGCCTGAAATGCCGGTACATTCTGAGCTGTGTAAAACAAAAGACAGATTCATTCCAACGCATACGCTAGTGCCATCTCGATTGTTTACCAAAAGTTGTGTTGCTGTGTAGAGCCTAGCATTCGGAAACTTTTGATTCCATAGACCAGCGCACAAATTAATTCATTACGTAGATCTACGTCAAGACTAGCTTATCATTGTAATAATGATCAGTTGCCGAGGAAAAAACAAAAGACTGACGCGTTTGTATCTGCGACGTTCAACGCCGGACACACACGCACAGTTACACATGTGCAGGCCGCCCATCTGACCCCGAACATACGCCAGAGTAGATACGTGCGCGTGCCAACAACGCAAGTGTTGGTATGAAAAAAGGCAACTGATTGGTCACATGCAATCGGCTAAGTGAATAATGGTTCACGGTGCAGGTGCAATGGATGGTTTCCGCGAATAGATAAAGTTTGTTCTGGGAGAAAAATGAGCGAAGCCACGTCTGCGGGGACTGTTCACCCTGGAAGCGACCTCGTTGAATCAGAGCTCGCTGATTTAAGTGCTCGTTGAATCCGGGTTATCTTTATTGACTTTAAAGAAGAAAAAACAGGGTATCTATCTCATCTCGTTGAATCCGAGTTCTCGTTGAATCTGAGCTTGTTGAATCTCTCTCTCTCTCTCTCTCTCTCTCTCTCTCTCTCTCTCTCTCTCTCCCTCCCTCTCTCTCTCTCTCCTTCTCTCTCTCTTTCCTCCCCCCCCCCCCCACACTCCTCTCTCTTTCGCTCCCCTCAAAACACCTACACTTGAGTTTCTCCAGCAACAAAGATCCCTCGTGGTCGCTGTAGTGTGTGATGGGGCTGGGACTGGCGGGCCGCTGCCTCTCCTCCTCCAGTCTCTGCATGTGCCTCATCTCCCTGGCCAGCGCCCTCTGCTGGCACTCGTACTCGTACTGGTCGTCCCGCGCCTGGGCAAAGTCCACATGGATACGTCCCGTGTCCTCCTTCTCCTCCGAGTCTTTGATCTTCATACGGTAACCTAGGGTAAAAATCACAATACAGGAGTCATAAACATTTGGTTTACTTGTTTACTTGTGTGTACAAGTAAACTGTATGTTTACGTAGACATGGTAAAAATCACCATACAGTAACCTATGGTAATAAAAAATCACCATACAGGAGTCATAAGATATACGGTAACCTATAGTTTAAAAAATCACATTCAGGAGTCATAAACATACCATGACCTATGGTAAAAATCACCATACAGAAGTCCTAACACATACAGTAACCTACGGTTCAAAAATCACATTTAGGAGCCATAAACATAAAGCAACCTACGGTAAAAAAATCCCCATACAGGAGTCATAAAACATACGGTAAACTTAAGAAAAAAAATCACATACAGGAGTCATAAAACCTACTGTAAACTACCACTAAAAAATCACATACAGGAGTCATAAACATACAGTATCCTACGGTAAAAGAATAACCCTACAGGAGTCATAAACATACGATAGCTTGCCACAGACGCAAGTACAGGGACGTTACTGGTTAAAAATCACGTACAGGAGTTATAAACATATGGTAACGTTCCGCAGACACGAGGAAAGACATACGGTAACCTGCTCCAGACACAATAACAGAAACGTTCCTAGTTCAAAGTCACATACAAGATTCATAAACTTACGATAACCTACCGCAGACATGAGTACCTGCATATTCTCCATTAAAAATCACATCCATCATATGATTCATAAACATACACAACCAGCAGTAAACACAGGTAGTAATAATAATAACAACAATAATAAGAAGAACAGACAGACAGACAGACACACAGTCCAACCAACA